AACTCGCCACTACAACTAATCTCCGGGGACATCCCTTCAAACTGTATGTGCCTCAAGGACGATTGGACGTGAGGAAGTATTTTTTTCTCTAAACGGGTCATGGACGGTGGAATAACTTTCACGAGGCAATTGTTATGTCTCACTCTGTGGAGACATTAAAACACCGACTTGATATACACATGCTGCAGCACAACGGGAAATATGTGACAAATTAGCCTCTAAACACCACTGCACCATGTGACAATCTATATTTTCCTGACTTAAAACTTGTTTACATTGTTTATAACTCTTGAGATTTTGATGTGACAAATAATAAGTTCAAAGGGTCAAGCGTATTATTCACTCAAATATACTGACTGAATTACGTGGTAAACTCTTCCTAGCGCACCATCAGCTCCTATCGTCACTCGCCCGATGTTAACATCTGACCCATGAACATCACGCACCTGTTTAGGTCGCAGCAATTTTTGAGCGTTTGACCTGCTATGCAGAATTATTATTGCAGTGTCTGCAGTTTTGGCATGGTACTCCAATCGCCACGCACTGGCCGGATGTTGGCAGGCGACCCGTGACCATCATGCACCTTGACAAGGTCGTATCATGCCTTCAGGATTTGCAGTTAATGCTGAATTTTTGTGGCATTGCCAATAGTTTTGACATGAAAAAACATTTCTCTCGCACGTTAGCTACCGCGAATAGTCACCGGATATTTACACGTGACTGGTTACCAACGCCCACGTTGAGAGCTCGAATCAATTCTTGAGGGTTTTACTAGTCATGCAGACTTAATATTGTAGTGTCTGAAGTTTTGTCATGGTAAACAATCTCCAGCGCATCCTCAGCTTCCCTGATCTGTCGGCGGATGTTCTTATGTGACTTGTTACTAACACCTACGTTGAGAGGTCCTATTAAGCTTTAAGGCCCTGAGTGGTCCCGCCGCAGTTGTTCGAAGGCAATCTACAGAGCTAGCATCGTAAACAAGTACTCATATCTCCTTGATTTTGGGGAGCAGGTGCCGGCTGTTAACATGCAACTATGACCAACACCCACATATCACAACCTTAGCTTACCCTGAGGGTTTAACAGGCAATTCCGCATAAGTGTGGCCATGTCTACAGCGTTGGCATGGTAAACCATTCCTCTCCAAATCTGAGCTTCCCCGGACACCCGCTGGATGTTAACATGCGACCCGTGACCATCACACATCTTAAGGTCACTTTATTAAGGGAGGAAGTCTATTGCCCTTGAGCTCCCCATTCATATTCACAAATCGCAAAAGTTGTCAACCTTAAAAACAGTATAGGTGTTAAGGCTAAGACGGTTAAAACCTACAATCTTCCAGGCCCTGTTCCATAGGATATGGGAGAAGTCTTGGAAGGCCAGAGTAGAAGAGATAGTTTATCGTGTACACAAAGGAACGGAGAATAGATGTAGAGAAGTTGGATTTCGGAGCACTCGTCATTCCGCTGGAGCGCCGTGGTCCTAAGTCGCCTAGTGGCCGAGAGTGGGGAAAAAGGGACTTGTTCGAGTGGTGCTTGGCGGCCGCGAGAACATGGACACACGTGTGTGTGTCCGAGTGGAAGATGATCAAGTCTCTGTAGGTCAGCGGGACAAGAAGCGCTAACTGAGGAAGTCGATTACCTTGAGGCAGCTGGGGTTGAACAATGACACCGGACAAAGCAATAGAGAAAGTGGGATGGCAGGGACCGCCACAACAGTACATAATACAAATAAAGGCTTAACATCAGCGATAGGTTTGAGACAGTTGCAAACTGCTGCTACTTACACTATGTTCCTTACATCTATTACAGTCTCTCAGCCAATGTGAATGAAGTTGGTGCTTCAAAATGTCAGCAGTGTCTGAGAGTACCACCTCGTCATGGAGTCCGTTCCACGCTCCGACGACCCTCTACGAGCAAGCTCTCCGTCAAACGTCCATGTGGCCGGCTTCCTCTGCAGTTTACGGGATGACACCGCAGATGATACGTCTGAGCAAATTCGAAGAATTCGTCAAATTCCAGG